TACTACCAGTCCTTCATCACCTTAAACAAAATTGGGTCAATACATCTCACTTTCTGTAACCCGAAAACATGCGCCAAAACGAAAATTTTACTTCAGTAGCGGTGTGGTATAGTGGCTAACGTGTCGAAATTATATGCTGCATTACCATGGTTCGAGTCCGGTTGGGGGTTAGGATGAGACTACAGCCCACCCTGGATGAGAGTGCCCTTAGGGAAGACAAAGCTGAGTGAAATTTGATGGAATCGTAAGGTCTACTCATAGCATTGTGAGAAAATTCAACTACCTGTCTTTCATCACATTAGACGAAATAAAGGGAATACATCTCATATATATGATCTACTTGTAGTCCCGAAAACCTAGTCAGGAATGGTGAAAGTTTAGATCAAATGAAGCTTTATTTACCTTTGCAAAGTATATCTTCTTATAATGTTATCTCTAAGATCCGTTTTTATTACTTTGTATTGATAGTTTTTTCTTTTCCTCCTACTCTCTATTGTTTTATACATTTTTAAGTCGCGTGTCGTTACCTTCTTTCCTGATGCAAAAAAATACTACATCACTTACTTGAGGTCAGGGCTCCATGGCCAAATCCAGCGGCAAACATGACGGCCGTGAAGCCAGGCAAATCGGTGCATTTTGGTATCAGTATGTTTGTAAGTCCGCCCAGGAAAATGGCGACTGCCAACAGAAAGTCGCGGTGCCTTGGGGCCTTGTCAGCCAGCACACCCCAAGAGACGGAGCCAACAAACATGCCGGTTGCTCGGACCGACAATGCAGAACTGAAGTCCATTCGATTTGAATTAGTCAGATCCCTCAGAGCGATCAACGAGGGACCGAGAATCTCACTGTAAAGACCCTGAAGTTGAAGGAAGGCAGTAAATAATGAAATAGAGAATTTTGTAATAAAGGAGACAACATGAGTGAACGGGAGTACACAGTCAGAAGGGGAAAGAGAAGAAAATAATATACAGTTTGCGAGCCACGTCAGCAAAAACAACTGAATAAATGACAGACACAATACTAAAGGCATTAGTTCCCATACAATATTGTATAGGCAATAATACATTGAGGTTTGGCGATATTGCATTCTCTTGCATAAGGAAGATAAAGTTCGACAATACCACTTTCTTCATGCCTCTTCATGCACGACACAATCATTAGACGTAGGGGACAGCACAGAGGACTGTACAGTTGTCAAGATTTCCATGTGCCCTTATTGGTGACGGATGAGATGAACCAAACGGGGTAGCAAGTTGTTTGGTTTAACTGCATTTTTCATTACCGCTTAGATTAACGGAAGTTAACTCAGCTTTTTTGAGTTAAACAAGCACACACACACGCATAGAGTTTAAGATAACAAAGTTATAATCTGGACCAAATCACGTGCCATAACTTTAGGGATACATTTGGCTATAAATATTATTTTGGATTCCATTGTAAGGATATTTTACTGCATTCTTAGATGTCATACAGCTTGAAAAGAAGAATTATAGCGGGACAGCAGTCCCAAATAATGATAAAGTCTAAATAGGGTGAGATAACGAGCTATAAATAACTATCCAGATATGATGTATTTTCTGGTATTTCTTGATAAATTTTTTTTTAATGGCTCAATAGGTTGTCCAGTTTCACAACGAGATCTTGATCTTGCGCCGTTATTTAACTGAAATGGAGCAAGTTCCTCTTACAAATCAACAAGGTCGCTATGCTAATCCAAAGTCTGGCAGAAAAGCTGCCCGTTTGAGCACGCAGAGGGCACATTGAATTTCTGTCTACCTTACAGCCCAACGGATTAACTTATCGAAGGTGACCAAATTTTCGAGCTGATTTATTAAAAGCAGAAATATCAGATAACTATACGAACATAAAAGCAATCTGCAGCGAACAATCGCCTCATTGATAACTTAAAGTTCAAACTTAGATAGGTTGGCTTTAAATGAGCACACTAGGAAATATAACTCTATGGGATTGATAAGGCTTAACGAGTCTGGGAAGTAAAAAGTCTATAAATAAAATGCTATCATTTTCTATTAGTATGAGGAGTGTATGTAAAACTACGGCAATGCATGAAATAATACAGTAATATGTATAAAAGTATGCTGAATTAAGGTAAAAAAGATAAAGTATGGCATTTTTTACCGAAATATGCAAATTTAAAAAATAAAAAAATGTGCGAACAATTATTAGTCATCGTGGGATAACTCACCAAACAGATCCACGCATAAAACAGACACACGGTTTTCGCTACCTTGAACCCAAAGCGTTTTCTCGTTTTGTCTCGAGCTGTATCAAGGTCCTCCTCCTCATATCTCCCTGATATTTGCCAGGTTCCGGCGAACGTAACATGGTGATCTGCTGCCTCCATACTTTCCGGTCGATTAACTTCGTCTCCGGCTAATATGAATGTTTCAGCAGTATGAGGCGAAGCTGAAGTGGGCAAAGGCAAAGCACAATTATGATGGGGAGGTTGAGAAGTTAGCGTACAGTGTTGAGGCGAATAAAAATCCTTAGATGAAGATTTTCTGAGTGGATCTGAGCAAAGTCTACTTCTCTGCCCCTTTGGTGATTGAATAGAACCAAGCAGAGCTACTTCACAGAGATTTTCATGATCCTCCAGCCTATCGCTTTTAGCTTCAGACTTGCTTTTATCATCCGACTTCGGTGAAGTAGCCAAATTATTCTTCGTAGTGCCGATATTATTAGTAGCATCATCATACATAGTCGCAATTGTCGCGGCCGTGGGAATGTAATTAACAGGAGTCACCTCCAGAGTTTGAACAGGTAAATGTTGTTCAGCTATTCCATCAGTCAAAGTTTCATTATTCTTTCGATAAATTGCCTGAGTATCGGAATTACCTGGCGAATTCGACTCATTGAGTAGCATTAGAGCATCGCTAGAGGCATCATTAGAGTCGTCAACTCCTTTTAGTGCTGGTTGTAAGTGATTGTCACCCATGACATTTTGTTCTTGAAAACGATGATCTAGGCTTGTCATATTAAGAGGTGATTCTATAAAAAAAGTAATAAAGAATGAAAATATAACAAAGCATTAAGTACGTGAGAGGATGATGTAGAAGTATACAGAGGGATGGACCACATATACCCAGGGTAAAGTAAGTGAGATATACAAAATATAAAATAAAATCCACTTTACTTAAGTGATCAACATTTCTACGGTCTTTCATTACAACTCGTAGGTACAAAGTTGGAGTTAAGGTGCTCTTGGTCTAGTTATGTGAGCACATTTTAGCCAGTCTACTAAAAAGTGTCAACCTATTAGATCTAAAGCTTTCACTTCGAACATTTATGAGCACAAGTTATGAGCCGAAGAGTATAGCACCCTTCAAAGATAACAGCACTGACCAGATAATAAGCTGTAGCTTCGGATACGTGTATTTCGAATTTGAAATTTCTCATCTTAATTAGCCATATTATACTCTCCTTGCTGGTGAATATTAGCAGCCCTATGCAATATGCAGTATTCTGACTATGAGGAACCCTTTGAACCGAAAAATGATGATATTGTGTAGCATACGCCAACATCATCCATTCAGAGAATATGAAATAATGTTAAATTACCAAATAAGCAAGTAGCGTTATCTGATGGGGATCTTTTAATAAGCCTTGCACGGGAAATTTCTTCAAGATTCTTTAACTGACTAAGATTAACTTGGAGAAGTTAGTGTCATTCGACAATGTGGGCTTCTTTAGCGTTTTGAGGCCATAATGTTGGGCTACCAACA